TTCATCAATGAGTTCTCAAATTCCGGAAACGGCAGTAAAATGCACGTGCAATACATTAGCTTTTCACGTGACTTATTCCAACACTTATTTTGTGTTTTTTGTTTGTGTTTTTATAAAAGTTATTTATCATTTGCTGTTGTTATGTGTATGACATAAAATAAATTTTTTTGATAATACACGAGATTATCAAACGACTTTGCAAGTAAAATCATCTTAGTTCAACATCCCTCTTTGCCTTTTAAGCCTAAGTTTCAATAACCACCCAAACAAAAAAATACATCAACAAATTATATCAAAATTGTGAATAAATCTGGAATAAATCATGTTTTCCTGATTTGTTAATACAATTTGTTCATGATTCATTAAATGAATCATAAATAAATTGTGCTTTTACTGGAAAGAAAAGAACCCATTTATTATAGATTCATTACAAAAGACAGATTTAATAACCATTGATTACAAACATAAGATATATTCAATACAATTTATTGCAAATTCATTACACTTGAACTGGAATGTATACAATTTATTCATGATTTATTGGAAAAAGAACTTTTCCCGACTGCATTTAATACCATTTATTACAAATTCATTACACTTTAAAGTTCTGAGATATTCACAGTACAAGTTGTTCATGATACATTAAAATCAGAGATTTTCCAGGATTTATTCAATACAATTCATAACATATTCATTGTACTTCAGACGTTCATAATTTGCTTAATTATAACAGAAATTTTCATTGATGTAGGTCCTTTTGTTTTACTGTTCATAACAACTAAACCCCTCTCAACGTACTATACAAATATTTTTTTTAATTTCCCTTTGCTCATTACCGTACTAGCTTGTTTTTAATCAGTCACTGGAAAATATATATCGGTTTTTCAAGTCTCTTAGTTTAAGTATCACCATATTATTAATTCCATGCTCAGCGCAAAACGTAAAAAAAGAGTCAATTATAGATCTACAATCTCGTTTTACTGTTAAATATGTCTAACTAATTTGCATGTAGATTTTATTTTTGAGTGATTAAGATCAGTTTTTGTCTTTATTCTTATTGTTAATACGCAATCTGATCCATACCCACGGCTTTTTATGATTAGATCTATCATTATCAGTAAAAAACTGTCGAATAGATTAACGTATATGCGTAAAAAGGTAAAATGTCGTAAAAAAGCGACTTAATTCTCTCGGACTTAACATATGTTGTTAGTTTATTGTTTTGAACAGCATGGCTCCCAGCCGCGCGATTAAACGATAAGATCTTGCAGGGAACTGCAGCATACCGAGCGCCCCCTATCAGCCGACAACAGAACAAGATTAATAGGAAACGAAAATTTTTTGCCATTTCAGAAAAAAGATATCTTACCATACAAACAGTTTTCTTTCTTTTGGATATAACTAATGTCAGAAACAAACTAACTTACAACAGATTTTGTCATTGCAGCTGCAAAATTAGGAACTGTATACAATACTATAGTAGCTAGGAATAACATTTCGTTTGCATTAATTCTATGCATAGGAAAAAGGCGGTTATTTTGGAAGATGAAAACTTGTGGAGTTACACAAAAATATGGATAAAAAACAATATCAAGGCATCTAGACTACTGATAAACGGTAAGTTCAAAATTTTCTTTTCGATCTACATAGCGTTTTTAAAAACCTTCTAGATCTATATCATATGTAAGTTGACAAAAAATAAAATTTACTGGAGTAATGTGCAGATTAGGATAACGATCGATTCGCCCCATAACGACTCGCCCCATTTTAGTGACGATTCGTCTCACCCTAATGGCACCACCTTAAATTAAACATTTTTTATTCATTTGATTTGGATTGAAAAATATTTATGATACAAGATACAAGTTTTAAAATATGCACGCATGTACATGCATTGTTTATGAGGATATCTATGTACAGCCCATTTTAAAAACATAAATCTGCATTGTTTCACAATGAGCTCATCTTCACATTTGAATGCGATGAAAATGATGTTCTTTTTTATTTTAAGTGACTTATTCAGAAGACTATTTTTCTTTTACTTAGTTATCTCGCAGAAAACTGAAAAGAGCAGCAAAGAAAGGACAGAACATAAAAATCAGCAACTCTGATGAGATGGTAAAAAGCAGATGAACGGGAGATAATAAAATGCAGATGGACGGCTTCTTTGATCGTGAAGAGTTTGCTATTAGTAATGGGACGAGGTCATTCCAAAGAAATGACATATATGAGTCTTTGAAGCGTAAGTATAGGGCTACATATATTAATCATTTTAAAAATGACAATGTGCTTTTTAAATATTAAGTAAATGATAAAAATAATACTTCTCAATCTGAATTTTGTTCATGTACATATAGTAATTCAATGTCATAGCCTTTCAATTTCGTTTTAAATTTAATTGAAGCAAATGGTAAAAAACTGGACTTGCTACAAAATATTTGTTCATTCCTCTGTTGAAAATGAAATCGAACATTCACCCGTTTGTTTTATCAACAAATATGTATCTATCATCAGACTTTGTGAAATATACTGCTGGTTTTTATTCAATAGAACATGTACAGTCTAAAGTGGTTGAGTCCTTTAGTGTATTAGGTTCGAGTTGAAATTTAAATTCAGATTGTATTGCAAATAGAACAAAAATATATTATACTTTTTTCAGAGTAATATGTCAGAAGTCTAAGTTTAAATTTTGATATTTTATTTATAAATATGATACTTTTTATGAGAATTTTCTTTTCTATTTCAGAGTATGCCATTCATTGCCTCAGTATAGAGATTCAACATTTAATGATTATATGAATAAAAAAAGGTGTAGCTCCAGACAGACACTGAAAAGGAAGGCAAAGATGTTTTCAGACTGACATAAAGCCCTAGTTTCTAAAACTAGAAATATATTCCTAACAGCAAGCACGAATATTTCCAGAATTATTCCCCTTTACTTGTTTACCTGACATTACCTGTTTTATTTGCAGGGATATTTATGAAATGAGCTATGCACGTACATTATGAGTTTTCAATGTTATGATGTGGTGGCATAGATTTTTTTCACAAATTTTAATCTTGTTGTATGTTCTTTATTAATCTAGTCAGCTTTTGTTTGTAAAAAATAAAAGAAAAATAAATAACATTTATCAAGATATGTTATTATTATTATTTTCATATTTTTCTCCTGAATTGACACCATCATTGGAACCTGCATTTATTCAAAATCCATTAGATGAATATAAGCAGGCAAGCCTGATTTGTTAATGATTCATTAATACATTGAATTTTGGTTTATGGAAGAAGGAAAAATACAATTTATTAGTGATTCATTAACAATTTATTTGCAATTCATTAATGAATCAGTTGGTCAGCGAACCTAATTTATTACCAATTGATTGACCTGATTTGTTGATAATTCATTGACTTAGTCAAGAAAAGGACCAAATTCATTACCCATTTGTTAACCTGATTTATTAACAATTTATAATAAGTCGGTAAATGGACCCAATTCATTACCAATTCATTTCACTGATTTATTAACAATTTATTCATAATGCATTGGCTCATTTGCATGTCATTTCCATCTATAATAAATTGGGAATAAATGGTAAATTTGTTTATCATTTATTATACTGATTCATTCCTATCTTTTTTTTGTTTGGGCATGGCGTATTTACAGAAATGATACTTTTTAGCACAACTGTTATTTCTGAGAACATATTTCAATAACCGTAATCAACGATTAACGCTTTGCGAGTTCGTTATTACACAGAAACAACATTTCAGATCGGTAGCGATATGATCCCTTCTTAATGGATTTATTTTACCGAGGCTCGTTTTATTCATGCGTTGCCCATTCGCAAGTGTATTTTACAATGATGTCGTACACCTGGCATTTATAATTGTGACATATTTGACCAAATTTATAGATGAAATTATTAGATTAACATTCTCTCCTGAATAATTTGACTAATTAAGACTTGTATTTTCTGATATGCTATTTTTGATAGTAATAAACGGTGTAATTGACGTTGTCGTCTTCGACGCTGTATACAGTTCATATCCATATCAGTATATCATACATACAAATCATTCATAGTAAGAGTTATTATTGTTACAATAGTATCTCAGTTAAACGATGGACAATGATCCGAGTCATATATGCAAAGTATAAACAACGAAATATTTTTGTTCATGACATGACAAATCAAAATGGACTTTATCCTGACCAGCGATTTGCTTTTTGTCTGCTTTTTATTTTATTTGATAGGTGAATAGTGAACATCGTATACTACTGAAACCAGACCAAGATAATTAAATATAAAATATTAAAGTGACATTATGCCCATCCTAGGGTATAAAGTGAGTGAACGGGTGAAGATCAAAATAAGTTTTCATTTTGCCATAATTCCTTTTAATTTAATAATTAAGTTCATTTAAACAATGAATAACGCACAGATCCAAACGAAATTTCTGTAAATATCCGTAAGAATTTACCTATAACGCTTACTTTATAAAAAGAGTGGGGCAGTCTTTTTAAATTTTGGGCAGATTTATAATTTAATCCAAAACATTTTCCAAAATCAACTGTTGGTCGAACACTATTTTGATAGTTAACCTTTTGAAATGTAAAGTCAATTCAGCTCAACTTTACTATGAAAATATGAGCATAATGTTACTAAATTTCTTGAGATAAAATATAATACTTTTATAGCAGTATTTGAAAGTTAAGATATTTATTGTTTGTTTATACAATATGACTAAATATACCATGGTCTTAAAAGATCTATACACAATAATAAGAATATATACACTGTATATAAAACCATTCAAATATCTTGACAACAAATAATGAAGCAAAACTGTTATTCACTATCGTTACGAGAATATAAACCATTATTTCCGGTTCTTTATCTTGAATTCCTTAATATACTTTTCACATTTCTTTCGTTGATACGCCACCTTTGCTTCGTCAAGTTCTTTGTGTGCAGCTTTTTTGTCCGCTGTTGCCGTTTCCAACTGCTTTTCGAGGTCTTTAATGTTATCTTTAACGAGATAGGTAGCACCGTGTTTAATCATATTACTTTTTTCTGCATATAACACAACAATTTTATATAATTTCCAACCAGCTTTTCAATATAAAGTCAACAGAAATAATGATGATAATAAAAAAAAACACCTTTAAATACAATCATTTTTGTCAACGATATTGTGTTGCACATGATGTATAAGTAAAAATGGTCGAGTATCTCAATTTTATGTTCAAGGCATAATTGCCATTCACTAATACACAATCATCTCTTTAACTTCTGCAATTCTTCTTTATATGTTTTAGTTTGGCGCCTCTTATCTAGCGCTTCTTCTTTTGCTTCGTTTATCTTATTTGTGAGATCAGTTGCAAGATCTGGAAATTTACAGACTCTTTTAGTAGAAAAAAACTTGTATACATACAATGTCGGACCCGTGAAAGGTTTTAAAGTGGTTTTCGAAAATGGAGATTCTATGAATTAACAACTTTGGTTTAACTCTATGAATGTGATCTATTCAACTAAATGACAATACAAAGTCATGTTAATATTTAGGCTTATGCAAGAGCATGGTGTTTTATGAGACATAATCATAAAGCTGAAGCTTGATTTATAAGAAAAACCATTTATTAAAATAATATAAATATACTAGTATCTTAAACATAAATGTGTTAATATGTACAGTATAAACAATGCATATTTTTTTCTTGATACTATTTACATTTTTGATAGAGGGTAGCAAATATGGCCGTTTAATTATAACTAAAATTAACTAGTTTACCATCCTTTTTATCTTTCTTTTCTCCTTTCCTTCTTTCAGCTGTAAGTTCATCTTCCTTGCGTTGCAGGTTCTTTTGAGATTTATCCAACTCTACCCGCAATTTCTGCAGTTCACTTTCCAATTCTTTTATCTTCGATTCTTTTTCTCTCTTAGTCGCCAAATTGTCAGCCGCAATAATCCTTATTTGTTCTCTAACCTGTCGAAGTTCAATTTCTTTACTTTCAATCTCTGTCTTCTTTTCTTCTATTTCCTGCATTAATGTGTCCCTATCATAGGTCAGAACGTCAAACCTTTTGTTTAGATTTTCAAGAGCTGGCAGCAGCATTTCGTACACCGCTTTTGCTGTGCGAGTTGTATCGTCTTCCGTACAGTCTTCAAAGATGTAAAAAATCAAAATAAACTTAAGGTCTATTAAGCCACAAAAATAAATGATATTATTTCCCCATAGCTTTATCATTTCTGGTGTTCTATTACAGATTTCGAAAAATTTTATGAGCTTTAAGGTAACAGCATCATTTGTTCCTAATACATGTACTTTCTTGCTATTATTACAGTAATAATTATTATTAAGTAATTTATATGGAAGACAAAATACCAGTTCGTTTGTTTTTCGCTGCTTTGACGAATATTGCTTTCTCTATTCTAACTTCCATCCTTCTGAGTTGCTCTAAAGCCGTTATTATTATTATTATTATTATTATTATATTATTATTATTATTATTATTATTATTATTATTATTATTATTATTATTATTATAATTATACAAACAAAACAAAGTTAACAGAGGGTTTTGCATATTTTGATAACTTTTAGGTCAAATCTGTGGATGATAAGTATATACTCACCATAGGATTTTGGTAGTTTTTATGATGAAAAAACAACAACAACAAAAACCAAGAGAAAAACACAACCCACAATCCTGGAGGCTTACAACTGACAAACTTATTTAATAAAATGTATTTGTAGCTGTTATTAATTTTTGTACAATGGTACATTAATTGTAGAAACGATAAGCAGATAGTTTTTATTTTTAATGTCCAAATAGCCGTGAATAGTTTTTATCTTTAATGTCCTGATCTAGGCAATTTAGTCAAAGTATGCATCCATACAGTATTTGTATCATAGCAAACTCAGATGGAAAAACTTTAAAGCTTTTAACCCTCCAAATGCTTAAAACATCTTTTTTTAATCAAACTTAGGAAAAGGTGAATTATACTTATATTGTAAGTAATGTATAAATGTTCACAATACAGATGAAACTTTGAATTAGTTGATCAAAATGTGACAAAAACTGATACCGTTTAACATTGAAATTTATACCCTTTACGGCTATAAACTAATAAAGTGAGAAATATATCTGCATGTTAAATAATAGGTATAATGTGTGGATATTGAATGTCTGAGGCTAGGTAAATACTTAACAACATATTTTACTCACTAGAACAATTTTTAAGGTTTCATTAAATTAAATGTAAACACAAGTCTGGAGGCGTGCTGCTTTAATCAATAGATAAAATCTTATGTATTTAAAGGATAACATAAACATTTTTGGCATAAAATCTTTATCTTATGTATTTAAGTTTTGGGCTGACAAAGTGATATATAGAAATTATATCACACAGTAGGAGACTAGTGAAATATAGAATTTGTTTCCCGTCCTGTACATTGAAGCAGGCTAAGGTTTAATGGTCGTAACAGAAATAGAACATTCATTTTAATTATAATAATTTTAACTTGGAAACAATTATGTGATCTAAAAGTGTCCGAAAGTATCACAAGGAAAATACATTGTTACCTCCGCATTATTAATTTGTTTGTTTGTTTACTTTTTATTTGATCTATCTATTTATTTTATTTATTTATTTTAATATTTACTTATTTATTTTTTGAGAAAAACTTGCTTATCTGAGCAATTTTCTTACCAAGATAAATAAACACTAGTATCTCTTTCGTGTCCCGCTCTTAAAGATTATAAAAAGAAAGTAGTATATGCAATTATTGTTCGAACCAAACACTATAACGTACCTATTTTCTTTAACGCTAAGGGTCCTCTTCATTTTATTTTGTAAGGAGATTTTTCAATGGTTGTGTGTATCACAGTCTTTGACCTATGCAATCACCGTAATCATCAAATTCTAAATCGTTGTTTGAGTATTAAGTATGGAAAGATATGACTCCGACTTTTTTTACGTAACTTTATATTAACTACTTACTTATACAGTGATTTTCAACCCATTTTGATTTGGTTTATGTAAAATGAAAAACCTTTAAATCATTACCATTTTTAATAGCAAAAGGGAAAAAAGTACATGAAAATGTATTAAATGTACTTAGTAAAAGCGTACATAAAATGGCTTACACAAACTATTCAAAAAGTTAATGTCAGTCCATCAAATCTAAAAATATTGGGTCAAAAAGAACTTAATAAAAGTTCATGTATAATCATTTCAATATGACTATCTTACCGTCACTTCCGCTAGCTCCATACCCACTTCTGGCGGCTCCATGCGCCATGTTCCTGTGCTAAAATTAAAGATCCTGCCTTATTCTATCTGTTTAAAAGAAATACAAATAAAACAAGAAGAATTAAAATGAGGAGTGTTAAAAAAGTAGATGTTATCAAAGTGATAAACGTTACTTAAATGTTGATTTTGTTGCGCTTAAACGCTTAAAGTAGTTTAAAGTCGGCGGTATTTTCCATATACATATACTAAATGCCAATGAGCAAGTTAAACACATCTATTTCGTTCTTTTTTCATTTTAAAAATACATGCATCTTGAAATGTCTCTTCTAGTCTAGTTATCAAATAACTGGTCGTATATAAACGTTTATTAGTAAAATGGATATTTAGAATTACGGAACCCTAGTTTAAATCAAATATCTTCTGTTTAGCCGACCTTTTATCAGCCATCTGCTCTTATCGGCTAATATGCTACGCAATAGACCTCTTACATTATAAAGCGACATATTGGAACTACTTTAGTTACTTGAGTCCGCCATTTTCTTTGTGTATATTATGGTGTCAGTTGTAAAATTTCAAAATTTAGCCATTGTTTATTTTTTCTGTTAAAAGGACTCTGACAAATTGAAAAAAAAGTATACGGGAAGAGCCGATTTTTTACGATTGCCTCATCAGTTGCCTTACTACCATGTTGTGATCACATGACCTTTCGCATATCGTAGAGTATGACGTAGATCTATAACATGACGTTAAAGGTGCTCCAAGTATGGTCGAATAGAATGATTTTGGTCTTAATACATTGGGCATCTACCTCAAAGATAACGTCTTTTAATCAACTTTAGTACAAAATTTATATTTTCATTTAGCAAATTTTAGCGTATGAGTAGCGTATGAAACATCGACTTCTTTCGGAATGAATGACGGCGAAATGACGTCATCGATGAAGACGCCATTTGAAAGAATGTGACTCATATTACGCGATGGGAGTGTAAGATGACATCTCAAACATAGAAAATTCAGTAAAAGTGAAAGCAACGTAAAATTCTGCTTTAAACCAAGTATTTAAGATCAATTGAATTGGGTAGATGATCCTTCAAACAGCTACAAACAAAAATCAATTGAAAGGTAAAGTAAGGATCAGTATGGATATATTAATCATGACTGTGTGTTTAAAATATATCTTGAATCACATTAGGTGTTTATAATTTAAGTACTTAAGATACACTAGGAAGCGAAATTGATAAATATGACAATATAGCGCTGTTAATGAACAAGAGTATATAATACTGATAAACGAGAACCGTTTTTCACTGCGAAAAATATACCGATATACGGGAATATACGGTCCCGTATTTTTGACATATACGGGCGTGTACGGGATGTATTCGTCGAATATACGGACCAAGTATACGAGTCCGTATAGGGAACACCAGGTATACGGGAAGTCCGTATATGCATCAGGGCATATACGGAATTCCGTATTTGCCCCATATACATGTACGTATATTTGTTCGTACTTTTT